TATGTATGTATGTATGTATGTATGTATGTATGTATGTATGTATGTATGTATGTATGTATGTTTGTATGTTGCTTGCATAGGCAATTAAGTCACGTGGAGTTCATTCTTATGTGGAATACAGGATGAAGCTTAGTTTCTTATTTTATCGGCCACATTTTTTCTTCAGACATTAATGACGTCATCGCCATTGTTTACATTATTATTATTATTATTGTTATTAATTTAAGTTCTTTGGTACGGTTTTCATTGGGGTTGTTGTAGCAATCATAGAATTAAGAATGCTCAACGGCTATCGCAATAATTTATAATAATAATAATAATAATAATAATAATAAATAAAAAAAATTATGACAAGTTAAAAATAAATTATGCCACAACTACTGAAAATAATTATATTCAGTTCTATTGCTACTACAACTATTACTTATAATGATAATAAAATATTATTACAATTATTCAAATTTGATAAAAATGCTACTGAACTTTTTTCAATATTTTAATTAGTAATTATATTTACTGAAATACGACTACTTCTACCACTAACAAATACTACTTCTACTACTACTACTACTACCACTACCACTACTACTACTACTACTACTACTACTACTACTACTACTACTACTACTACTATTACTACTACTACTACTACCACTACTACTACTACTACTGCTACTACTACTACTGCTAAAATAAATAAATTGTTGTTTTGTGAAAATTTCTTTCTTTCATTAAAGGGTAAGCAACTTAGTTATTTTTTTTAATATCACATCGCCATCATCGTTGCCACCACCACCACCACCACCACTACTGCCACCACTACTACACTACCATCATCATCATCATTATTATCTCATCATCATCATCATTATCATCCCATTATCGTCTTCATCATCATTCTAGATCTCGTCACTATATTTCAATTCTAATAATTATCCTCTTAGTAAGAATTTTACATCACAAACTTACTATGCGATTGATACGATGAATTTAATTGTTAAAATTGTTATCGTCATCGTCATCACCATTATCATCACCATCCTCATCATCATCAACAACAACTCATCATTATCATCATCATCATCACCATTATCACCAACAACAACAACTTATCATCATCGTCATCATCATCATTAACAACAACTCATCATTATCATCATCTTCTTCCTTTTCCTCGCCATCGTCATCGTCTTCCTCCTCTTATCATAGCAATTAATCGCAGTGGTTAATGAGCATTTATATGGATGTTTTGATGGATGTTTCTGATTGGTTGATGTATTACTGGGTCGAAGTGTGACTGGTTGATGCATTAATGAGACGAAATGTGATTGGCTGATGCATTACTAGGTCGCAACCTGATTGGCTACTGTCGTAAATTTTAAATTAAAGTATGTCAGGTCCTAACCGTGAACATCGCAATTTGCATTACGGTTTAGTGCTTTGGTGTCTGCTTGTCTGTTTGCCTGTGCATGTGTGAACGTACGTATGAACATGTGCGTGTGTGCGTGTGTGTGTATGCGTACGTGTGTGTGCGCACCTGTGTGTAACAGTAACACGGTTCGTGTAACATTTCAATCGTGTGAAATGACATTAAGATGGAAATGGAAAACTACATGAGCCTTTCTTGGACGTTTTGTTTTTCGTCTGATTGGGCGTTTGTGGAAAAAAATTTCAAGGAAGAAAGGAAAACGAAAGTAAATAAAAGCAGTGGAAGAAAGAGAGAAAGAGAGAGAGAGAGAAAAAGTAAGAGAGAGAGAGAATGACAGAAAGAAACAGAAAGAGAGAAAGAGAGTTGACAAAACGTACAGATATGATAGAATTAAAAAAAAGGAAGAAAAGAGAAAAGAAGAGATAGAGAGTAGATAACGATAACAACAACAACGACGACAACAACAACAAACAAACAAACAAACAACAAACAACATACAAACAAACAAACAAACAAAAATTGTACAAAGATACGTATGTACTTCTCTCATAGATTACCAGTCAAATGTTACGAGCAATTTAAAAGTAATTTTACCACACCTTCAGCGGTTTAAAAATAATAAAAGTCATCTTAGTAGTAGTAGTAGTAGTAGTAGTAGTAGTAGTAGTAGTAGTAGTAGTAGTAGTAGTAGTAGTTGTTGTTGTTGTTGTAGTAGTAGTAGTTGTTGTAGCAGCAGCAGCAGAAGCAGTAGTGGTATTGGTAGTAGTAGTAAAACAACAAAACTTTATAAGGCAGTAATATTATTGAAATCTTCGTCCTTCTCTCTCTCTCTCTCTCTCTCTCTCTCTCTCTCTCTCTCTCTCTCTCTCTCTCTATCTATCTATCTATCAATTATCCTTCCCCCTTTCACTCTTTCTTTTTATCATTCGTTCATTCTTTCAAACTCTCGGATGAAAGGTGAAAAAGAGATAGAGAGAAAAAAAGAGAAAGAGAGAAAGAGAAAGAGAGAGAGAGGAAAGTTGGGAGAATGAGTTAGAAAAAAAAGCGCGCGTGTGTTCCATTTATGAATGCGTGCCTACACATCTGAGAGCAAGATGGCGGACGGAAATAGAAACATAACACATCACTTCCGGTTTGCTTGTTATGGTCTTTTGATTACACGTGAAGTGTGTGTGTGTTTGTTTGTTTTGCTGGCCACTGCTGATTGGTTGATTTGCTGATTGGTGATTGGCTGCTTTTTCTGTTTGCCTGATAGCTGATTGGTTGATTTGTAATTGGTTGTTTGGATGTCTTTTAACAAAGCCATTTTTGTGTGGTAAAAAGAAAGAAGAAAAAGAGCTAGATAGATAGAAAGAGAGAAAGAGAGAAAGAGAGAGAGAAAGAGAGAGGGAGAAAGAGAGAGGGAGAAAGAGAGAGGGAGAAAGAGAAAAAGAAAGAGAGAAAGAAATAATTTAACAATAAACATTATTCCATGTTATATTAATATTGTTATCAGCACTAAGCGACGTTTCAGCCAATTTGTTTATGTTATTCTATTTTGTGATATTTTTTGCATTTTTAAAGAATTTATGTAGCGCTCAACCTTTATTTTTTTGCTCTCTCTATTTCAAATTCACGATCCTGTTCTATTTTAAATAATTTTTTTCAGATTTAGCGGAAGTTTATAGCTATGTTTTATTTTATGTCTATGTTTTT